ACCTATGTGTTAAGTGGTAAAATTCCGAATCAATTTGAAAAAATCATATATAGAACTTACCAGTGGCTTTATCTCGGTAACCACACAAAAATGGTTTTACAATTGCTTTATTCAATATCTCCACAATAACCGTTCTGAATCCGTTTTCATCTTCAATGTTAACAGTTATAAAATCGGGCATGTGATATTTGCTGCAGCAGTAAAAGTTCTTATCATTCTCTACCATACTTAACCCGTTGTAATATACTCACTTATAATATATATTCAAATCTAACTTTGGAGGGTCCATACCATCGCCAAGATTCATTTCTGAAATATGCAACAATTCTAAATCGAATTCAAATATTCCAAATTGGTTTGAATCCGTTTGTGCCAACAAGCAACGATTTGATATTTCCCGTTCATTTTGCGTAAGTCTTATATACTTTGGGTCGACTTCAAACTTGCTACCGATATCAGTTTTAATATCAGCAATACTCGATCGATTCGAATATACTTGCGCCACAATACGAGAGCCATTTACGCGAAATTTAACGGTTACATTTTCCACTGGCAACACTTCATCGATGAACTCTGATGGAATCTCTTTAAGCTCTTCTGAACAATCATCGTTCTTATAGGAATCTGGTTGTTCAATGAGAAATGAATCACCACGTGAAGGCGGAGGCGGTATAAATTGCATATATTTTATATTCGGCAGTTCTTGTAACTCTTCACAATTCATTTTAATAGTTGCGCAATAGTTGGGATATTAGCAAAATAATAATTGTGTACACATATGTATTTATATGTATGTGTAAAATGTTTTTAAAATTTTGTGACACTCCAGTTGAACATTACTTTAATTCAAATCACTTTTGGAAGTCTTCCAGAGTGTCAAGCCTAGTTCCTGGCAGCCTTTTCATATGCTTACTAAACTTTGAAATAAAGTTGGTTCAATAGCGGCACAGGTATTTTTCCACAACACAAATCCTAAAATAACAACCGTTGCCATATATGTACATACACTCTTATGTAAACCAAAAATCAATATTAGTCGTGACATATTTCAATAGCACCACATACGCAAGAATATATGCACCCCTAATATGGAACAAATTATTTCATCCACAAAGGTGTGTTATCGGAATCGCCATGGCAATGTCGTACATTTTTTGTTTAAAGCTGTGGCTCTTTTGTTAAAATCGCTCCAGTACCATAGTAGTCTGAAAACACTGGGATCTTTTTTCAATAGCGAACTCTACAGGTGCAATGACCCGAGCGTATCACTAGCTTGATGGATTCATAAAATCCATTAGCAGGTCTAATAGGAGAAGAAACTATTTGACAATTACATATAAAAGGAAATGCGGCTTTGGTTTTGAAAAAAAAAAACATTAGATTCAAAGATATTAATCACTCTGCGGATATTTCTCTATACCGAAGTTTAAAGCAAAACCTCCTGTATCGAATTTCTCTCTATAGCGAATCTATTTCAATTAATTCAATGTTCTTTCATGAGGAACAAGTAACAGCGTCCTAGCAAACAATTTATCTTTTTCTTCGAACAAACTGTTTAGATTTATCTTTATGTACATTGATATTATATTTATACTATTGCAACATTTCGTTACAGAGCATAATAGCTTTGTTCACCTAACGGTTGTTAGTATAACTTATAAATAATCCAGATAGATATGGAGTTATATATATTCCATATAAACGATCAGGATGACTTCCGTCCATATGTCTGCCTGTGCAAGCTGTAGCTTGATTAAAAATTAAGATATTTTGGTGAAAGTAGATGTGCTTAATCGGATCACGGCCACGCCCACGCCATTAATCGAATACTTATAAATTGCCATAAGACACAAAACTGCAACCTGCAACCCAAGCAAAATAGGCTTAGGCCTTAACAACAAAATTTATAACTTTTAAAAATTATTCTGATTAGTTTATTGAAATAAAAACTCATATTCCAAATGTTTAACATAATTATCTAAACAGATTATCATCAGTAGTACAATAAGAAAAGTTAATTAAATCACTAAGCAGCTGAAAAACGATTCAAAGCTACTTTTTTTTTATTTTATTTACCTGTTATTTCGTAGTAGTAGTTATTTAATGGGGTAATTTTCTGTATCTTATGCAAAAATTTACCATGGTAATGTATATAATTTTTATATTATCAGAAAGTAGAGAATTCAACAAACTTAAAACCTATTGACTGTTTATGAAAATCGAATATTTTGGCGTGAGAATTTTTGATTCAAATTAGGAGTTTTTTCGATAAATTATTTTTTTTTTAATGTTTGTTGTTTTATCTTTCATTTCCGATGGGTTTCATCCTACTATGATATTTTTTGTTTGCAAACATTATCTACCCTGATCTACAGTGGTATACTGTTATGAGCAGTTTATCTGCCAATTGCTTGTACGTCGTTGAATAAATCTGTTGCATCTTTATCCGACAATCCACCGTGAGTTAATAATGAAATAGCTTATTTGCCCCCTCATTATTGAACTCATTATTAAACTATTTTCTCAAGGAAACTGGAGCTGTTTCTAATTTGAATCATTTAAAACTACTTAAAACGCGATAAATCAATAACATTATCTTGACATTCCTACGTTACAGTGTGAAAATGGACAAAATCGGACCTCAACCACGTCTATTACGCATCCAATACAAATTCCATCTAATTCTTTCCAGTATACAAATCAAGCACAAATTAATATACAAGTATATATCGGGAGAGCCTTTCAGAAATACTATTTCCAGTCTAAAAATGTCAAAGTTACCAGAATATGAGATATACTTTTGCAATTCGAAGATAGTCACTTTTTGATAATAGATTGACTCGGGTCTATACTACCCCTGTCTCAAATATACCTAATGTAAGATTTTCAAAATTCCGGTTGGGCTTATACCATAAATAACAGCCAATACGAAAGTATCTTAGCCAAGTTAACTGAACGTATAATATTCGATATACTATAGCTTAATGCCAAAAATATGTGAATTTACTCTTACCCACTCCCACTACATACATATATTGATATACATTATTCTAACAAACCTTACGCCGAAAATGTCGTTCAATATTTACAAAAATGAAGATGTTTTTAATATTATTTTTGCTGAGACGGATGAATATATAGCTATAAAATTAAGTCTAAGTTAAGTCAGGAAGATATGAAATTTTATCGCAATTTTTTCACGATTTCTTCGAGTAATGACTGTTGAATTCTTTCGCAACATTTTTATACTCTCGCAACCTGTTGCTACAGAGTATAATAGTTTTGTTCACCTAACGGTTGTTTGTATCACCTAAAACTAATCGAGTTAGATATAGGGTTATATATATATAAATGATCAGGATGAAGAGACGATTTGAAATCCGGGTGACTGTCTGTCCGTCCGTCCGTCCGTCCGTGCAACTCTAACTTGAGTAAAAATTGAGATATATTTATGAAACTTGGTAGACATGTTTCTTGGTACCGTGAGACGGTTGGTATTGCAGATGTTCGTAATCGGACCACTGCCACGCCCACAAAACGCCATTAATCAAAAACAAATAAATTGCCATAACTAAGCTCCGCAATAAGATACAAGACAGTTATTTGGTACACAAGATCACATTAGGGAGGGGCATCTGCAGTTAAAATTTTTTTTTTAAAGTGGCCGTGGTTTCGCCCCTAATAGGTTTAATGTGCATATCTCCTAAACGGCTAATGCTATAATAACAAAATTCACTGGAGGCAAATGTTTTTAGAACCTCTACCTACAGTGTGAAAATAGTTGAAATCCGCCCACTCCCCATATAACGGTACTGTTAAAACCTACTAAAAGCGCGATAAATCAAGCACTAAACACGCCAGAGACATTAAATATTATCTCTGGCATAATATGAGATTACTTTATAGGAACCGCGTTTAAAATTAAACCGTGGGCGTGGCACCGCCCACTTTTAGGTGAAAACCTATATCTTCAGATCTGCTTAACCGATTTCAACCAAATTCGGGGCATAACGTTCTTTTCATATTTCTATGTAATAGTGCGAAAATGGGCGAAATCGGATTACAACCATGCCTATTTCCCTTATAACACCATTTTCAATTCCATCTGATTCTTTCACTTTCCACTATGCATATCAAGTAACAATGATTATATCGGGGTAAAACTTTGCGTGAAAAATACCTTTAAAGTATGCCACCTTGTGACCAAAAATTGTCTAAGTCAATTTCTGCTCAATCCCCTAAGTACTAAATATGTGGACCCCAGTTGACTTCTACCGAAAATATCCGTCAATCCACAAAGAAATTTCAAACGAGTATACAATTTGACTTTGCGAGAGTATAAAATGTTCGGTTACATCCGAACTTAGCCCTTCCTTACTTGTTTAATATAAAGTTTTGGCAGCTCTTGAAGGAATTTTCCGGGCTTTGGTTCTTGCAAGTTGCAAGAGTATTATATGTTCAGTCACACCGGAACTTATGCCTTCCTTACTTGTTAACATTTTTATTTCTACAACTACATTTCAACAAAAACTCACCTGAAACTCAAATAGAAAAGTTAATCACAATTTCACATTTAGTTTTACGCTCATTAAATAAATCATTGATGAGCGAATCTAGAAAACCGTCTCTCGATTAACTGATAAATTGCTCCTCTGACAACAGTATTTTTCATCATTGATTAAGACATAACCCTTGCTTACTGTTTTGTTATTCTTTTATATGTATGTGCAGAATTGTATGTATTGCTTCTGTATTTTACTGTGTACCTGTATTATTAATTTGTTGAAAAAAGAAAAATGATCGGCGTTTGACTTTTACAAATTTTATGTTTAAGGCAAAAGAAAAGGGGGCGACCGCGTTGGTCAGGTTAGTAAGCATATTTACTATGTATATGTTTGTATGGACTCGCAAGCTGGGTGGGTTAACGATGGCATGACTGTAACTAAAGACATTGTTTAAAGGAAGATTTTCTACTCCGACATAAGAAATTAAAACAGATCTATGGTTGTCCTTAATATTTTTAATAAATAATTTTCTTATTAAAATATAGTTTTGATTTAAGATTATGTGGCGTTAGTTGATTCTTTGGTTGCGCATGCGCCACCTGCAGTCTTAATGGTCTCCCACTGAAATAATAATGTCCACGATTCATGAGATAGATTTTACTCTCGACGCTTGCAAAGTCTAGCGGTCTATTTGCCACTATGTCAATTTTCTTTTTACTCGAAATTTTATAACTTGTGCTGTCATTATCTACTGGCCTATACCAGTAATTTTTGGTCTTCTGATTCGATGCGGTATGGTGATCTATAGTATTGGAAGAAGTCGTTGGCGCTCCTTCATTTAAAGGATTCATACTACTTAACGGCAATGCTTCCTTCTCTAATATTGGTTCAATTTTCATGGGCTGGTAATCGAAGCCCACTCCGGGAATATAGCGGTATGGCGTTGCAGGTATTGGTATGTAATAGATTTTAGAATCCTTTTTGGTTTTTTTCATCTTTGAACCATTGCTGTACTTGCGCAGACTTAGTGGTTTCGACGATACAATCATTTCTTTGTAGATATTTCCCAACGAAGGGCTGTGAAATAGTACTTTGGAGTCCATCGCTAAGGTGGGCTTTGAGAGCCTATCTGAACTGATTGTATACCCATCGACGAGGGTGCTTGGCAGTGTGAAGAGCAGCGTAAAGATTATGGCAAGCATCGCAATGATGACATCATAGCGGTTATTTGGTGTTAGTTGTTGATGCGTAGATAGCATGCTGAAATTAATAAAAAAATATATAAAGATGTTTATCATGTTATATACTGGTACCATCTCATGTGTTACACCGGGAGATCGTGGCAAGTTTGAGGGTTAGTGTCACTGAATAAAGTACTAGGTTTTCGGCATCAAAAATCTTTATTCTCGTTGGTTATAATATTATATAATCTGTCTAAGCAATAACTCGTGCCTAATTTCGTGAAGATACCTCGTCAAAAAAAAAATTTCCATGCAAGCACTTTACTCCGATCGTTAAGTTAATATGGCAGCTATATGCTATAGTCATCCGATCTATACAATTTCTTCGGAGATTAGATGAATGCTTTGAATAATAATACATGCCAAATTTCGTGAAGATACCTCTTTAAATGAAAGAGTTTCCCATACAAGCACTTGATTCCGATTGTTCAGTTTGTATGGCAGCTATATGCTATAGTCATCCGATCTACACAATTTCTTCGGAGATTAGATGAATGCTTTAAATAATAATACACGCCAAATTTCATGAAGATACCTCGTCAAATGAAAGAGTTTTCCATACAAACACTTGATTCCGATTGTTCAGTTTATATGGCAGCTATATGCTATAGTGGTCCGATATCGGCCGTTCCGACAAATGAGCAGCTTCTTGGTAAGAAAAAGACTTGTTCAAAATTTCAGATCGATATCTCAAAAACTGAGGGACTAGTTCGCGAATATACAGACGGACGGACGGACGGACAGACGGACATGGCTAAATCAACTCAGCTCGTCACGTTGAACATTTATATATATACTTTTTATGGTCTCCGCCGTTTCCTTCTGGGTGTTACAAACTTCGTGGCAAACTTAATATACCATGTTCAGTATAAAAAATTATGAAATGTATGAAATTGTCAATGAATAAAGCCAAAGCTTAAAAGTAAAGAAATTTTAAATAAAATTGTAGTATATTCTTCTGCATAAAATTATAGTAAAAGTGGCTTTGGAAAATGTACAAAAATATATATGTTTTCTAGTCTGATATTTTTAACCCGATTTCATTCTTACGGTCCTTTGTAAGGTATATCTTATTTGAACTTGAAACTGTATGTGTTTGTATGTCTTTATTATTATATGGTATTTATTCAAAGCTTGAATTATATAAGCTCGTACGAAACTTTGGAAAGAGTCAGATTCTCCTAAAACTTAGGATAACTTTTAGCTTTAACTGGTTAAAAAACATTGTTGTTATTAGTTGTGCTTGGGTATAATAAAAATAACATATAGTATATGTATGGTACATATATTTATACATTTAGCCTATTAAAGAACAATGCTTAATGATCACTGAAAGCAATCAACCGAATTTGGTAACGATGTTGAAGTGTCAACCAAAGTCTAGTCGCCGAAAGAAAGCAGATCGTTAGCAGCAGACTTGCTGATATTTCGTCAATTCGATCCGATCCGTAGTCCACAAATGGCGGATGGGAATAGACAAGGGTTTGAGCACACACGTGCATACAAACATGTATTAATCAAATAAAATTATTGATGATTTGCAAAAAGCACAGAAAAACTATTAATTATTTACATGTGCCCACACGTAAATACCCTCATTATATATGCAAGTCCATGAATGGGTGTATATGTATCTTTTGTGAACTTACGAGTTTATATTATGGAAAGAATAGAAAACTAATGTCTTAAGTACTTCTGGTAATTTCAGTAATTGCGTTATGAGAGTTAAATCTTAATTGTGCGCAAATTTGGAAGAAATTCAACGACAAAGGAAATTGAAAGAGTTTGTATATTCTCTCATTAAAATCTCATGATTACATAATTACACGTTTAAAATAAGTAATAGATTTTGAATGAGTTTAAATCGTTTAATTATGCGCGCGTTGAGGTGTAGCAACAGTTCGTCTCGCAGAAATTACCACAAACCATCATTTCTGCTGTCCAGAGGCTAATCACTCGGCTAACAGTCAATGCTCGAACATCTTCTCATATATTTGCTCTAGGCAAAATAACAGTAATGTCAGCTTGCATGCTCCCCACCCATTTAATGGCTAAACAAACTGTCAGAGTCTCACTCGGATACCCAGTGATCTAAGGCTATCAGTATTGGTATCAGTGTAGATATCGAATTTCATCGCTTACGGGCTTACTCATATTTTGTGATTAATGAACAGCACCTGAACGATTGATCTAAAACTGCTTTATTTGGCTACCTTATTCACAGCTATAAATATATTTGCATATACATATGTATGCATGTAATTAATTATATATTATATACAAGTATGTATGTATATATGCATATTTGTTCTTTTATTTTTCGAGGTGGTTGTTGTATTAACCTGCTTTTTTTAATTAACAGTTATTTTAGTTAAGTAAAAACGATCGCTATGGTCACTTGTGTTTTACCGGCTCGGCCTCTTTGGACCATAGATCACACATCTGACACTTTGTGAAGTCTTTACTTAAATTTATTCAAATTAAATCCTTGATAGGTTTAACATATGTACATTGTACATACATACATATGTAGATGTATGTTCATAGCTCACCTTGTGGCAACTCGTGCTCTACTCTTCTATTCCCCTACGTACTATGTTTGAAATAATATTTACACATGTGAATAAGTGTTTTTGAGATTTGGTTTTCTATCCAATATTCTAATAGTGTAACATCTATTCGTTTTCAAAAATATTTTACGAGCTTTGCCATAATTTTACATTTTGATGTGTTCGGGATTTGTACATTTGTACCAATGTACATTTTTCAAGTGTGAAATAAAATAATTATGTTAGGGGGATAATCTATGTTCTGCACTCACAGACGGGGCAACATCCACTTGAACTTACTGTTTCACTGTCCAATACTCGATCTTATTTTACTTTAGAATGTGAACCAGAAAAATACTAAAATACTTGTAAGATTCGGCCACGCGTTGCTGTGGCTAAGGTGTACATATTATAATAAACTATTCAATACACTGAAAATATTGTTTACGAATAAAGGCAAAAATGTTATTGCGGGTATAAGAATCCAATTATACTTGAGGTTTAATTTTAAAACTGATTCATACAAATAATTCAAATATTTGTCAGTTGAAAAAAAAGTTGACTCCATTTGGCATTTCACCGAAATTATTATATTTTTTTAAATTTTGACAACATGTTTAGAAATAAAAATTTTATTTATTAATGAATTGTTTTAATCTTAACATAATTAAGATATAAACATAATTAAGATATCAAACTGGACACAGTGTGGTAAACTTTATTAAAATTGGTTCGGTAGTTTAGAGATTTTCAAAACTGCGGTAGCTATAGAACACAAAAGACTTAAGAGACAAACTTGGATGTACAACAAATACATTTTGAAAGCTGATACCATTTTACACAAAATTGGTCAATAAGAGTCAGTTTCTATTTATTCAGTTCACATTAAATTTTTCAATGTCATTTTATAAAACTTCGCATGCGAATAAAACATGAATGCTTTTCCTATAATTTAACATAAAAACTACTACTTAAAAAGTAAGAAATATAAGTTCGGGTGTAACCGCAATTTGCCAGGATCAAAGCCAGGGAAATATCTTCAGGTATATAAGGTTTGTTAGAACAACGAAAATCAATATACGTAGTATATAGATGTTAGGGTAATTTGTGGATCAATTTCATATTTCTTCGGCATTTAACTATAGTAGTGTATATCCAATATTATGCGTTAAGTCAAATTTGATATGGTATCGTACTTTTTTGCCGATATATGCGACTCCGATTTGAACAATTTTTGGTAATAAGGTGACGCATCTCAAAAGCACTATTCGTGCAAAGTTTTACCGAAAAGTGGTCAGTGCGACGCCCATGGACCAATTTTGACAAAAGCTTCTCTTGTGCCATCCTGCCGTTGTATGGGCAGTGAGCGGGGTTATCATCCGATTTCACTTATTTAATCCCTAAGAAGGGATGAAAAAGATTTGTCCTGTGCATATTTGGGCGATATAGCATTATTGGTTTCAAATATGTATACATTAAACATATTGCGAGGAGGGGCCGCGCCTACTTTTTAAAGATTTTCAAACCGCAGGTGCTCCTCTTTAATGTGATTCGTTATGCCAAATTTAAGTTCTGTATCTTAATTTGCGGCTTAATTATGGCGTTTTATACGTATTCGATTAATTGCAATGAACATGTGTACCAATTTTCATCAAGATATATTAATTTTTACTCCAGTTATCGCTTGCACAGACAAATGGACGGACATAAAGACATCCCGATTTCAACTTTTCTCTTCATCCTGATCATTTATGTATATACAAGTATTTATGTACATACTTGTATTTGTATATCATTATATCTAACTCGATTAGTTTAATAAGTGATACAAACAACCGTTAGGTGAACAAAACTATTATAATCTCTAACAACATGTTGCAAGAGTATAAAAGTCGATTGCGATAAAACACACAACAATATTGTCAAATGTTTTTCGATGAATTTAATTAACGATTGTATTATTTAGAGACTGTGGAACTATCTTCTTTGCACTTCTCCGCGGTTCACTAGACCACACAAATTCTAAAATATTTTGTTCAACGACAAGCCAAAGTAAGATTTAAATGTATCGAGAAAATTGTTTTCCGAAATATTCACATTTTATAAATTATCCAAAAATAAATGTTTATTATTTTCACTCACTTTTTGAATACTCGTATTTTTGATGCGAGCTCTTTTGGTGTAATATCTACTAAGTAACTGGCTTAAATTTTTATTCTGTGCAACTACCCGGACTGATCAATTTAAATACAGTTTTTGTTTTGTATTTTTAATAAGACAGACAGCGTAAGACTCGACAATGAACCGCGGTTTACCTTCCGAAGAGTCTCAATAACTCTGATCGCTTAAGGTTAAATATTTGGTGCGAACGCCTCGAGTTGTGGCAAATAAATGAGATCTGCGTTGTAATGTGTTTTTCTTAAAAGTAGAAATTCATGGCAAACGCAAGAAGGCTTGCCTAGCCATGCAA